TTAATAATTTAATTTTATAATTGTTTGTTGAAATATATGCTTTCTGAATGATAAATTATGAATTTATTTATTGAAAATTTTTTCGTTAACGCAATTTTTTTACCTATTTATGGATTTAAAAAATCGAATAAAGTCGAATATATTCGAATTTTAGTGTCGATTAATCGACTTCTTTTTACTGTTCTAAAAGATTCGATCGATTAATCGATATTCGATTCCCATCCCTAGTTTATTAACAATTCCTAATAGTTATTTACAACATATTTCGTCGATTAACGACAATATTTCACAAGGAACCGAATCGTAACCCAATTCGGTTACAATTCGGTTTACCCAATCCGCCAGGGGTTCCTATACTTATTATTTACTTCGTTTGAAAGTTTATTTCTACCCCTATGTCCAACAATTAAATGTGCCTCATGAATTATATGTAAAATTTCATCATTTTTTACAAAATATTTTATAGTTTTATTTTTCTTAGATAGAGGTAAAATTAATTTTCTTTCTTTACCAACAGGTATAAATGTCAAATCGTTGCAAACAACTGTAATCAGTACTCGTTTTGTTTTTTGACTTGCTTTTCCCGTCACTCACTTCTTCAATTATTTTTATATATTGTTCTTCACTTAAATAAACACAATTATTTTTTTTATTTTTAATAATATTCATAGCACATTAGTTAATTTCACTTTCATTTCACTAGTATTCGACATAATTATAACCGTGATCCTACAAGCTGACTTTCAAAAGCAAACTAAAATAATAACTGAAGTTGACAATATTAAATTTATTTTTTTTGTTACATCTGGACATTTTTTCAACTTTAGTTTTTTTCTCTATAATTAATTTTTCCGCATTTTTTATCTTTTTAAAAGAAAAACCATCTGTTTCTTAAAAAAAATCATGTTCTTTCTTTTCATTCACCGATTTATAATGTATCTGTTTTTTCTCTTGATTTCTTTTAAGCAGATAATGAAACGTGATATGAAACCTTAAGTGGTCAACATATACAGAATGCACTTTTCCAAAAATCTTAGAATCCGAAACATTCGTAAGCAATAAAATTACAAAATACAACCAAAAAATCTTTTTGGAACTCTACAAGTGCATCCTCCAGATGTCGACCGCTGGGGTCCTTTTCCTTTCATTTTCGTTTTTCTTACGACAGGTACGAGAGTCCCTGTCGCCAATATTTCTTTCTATTTGTAATAAAAGTTGTCTAGGGTCCGAAAATATATACTATACTACAATTCACACACACATATACATAGTATGAATGAATGAATGTATAAAATATTTTAGAAATAATATAAATTTTTAATAACAATTAACTTCAATGGGTGTACTTCCGAAGTAGGGGTACCTCCGATCTTAATGAAACTTGGTATACTAACGTATTTTGTTGCGCTGATTACGAAAATGATAGTAAAAATTGGCGCAAATTTGATTATCATGGTAAAAACCATAAAAAACACCATAAAATCATGGTTTTTTGCGATTATCTTGTAAAAAACGCAAAATTTCGAAAAAAGTTATAGACAAAAGTTGTAGATCTCAAAAAAGTAAATCAGTAAATTTCTACTAATTGTCAGTTGTTCAATTCTCGCTATGGCAATTAGTAGATTTCTACTGCTAATCAGTAAAATATGACTGATTCAGATTTAGAGAGTACCTTACGCGGCCGAAGGCCGTGTTTACTATTTTGCGTTTACCGCTGCTGTAGACTCTACCCCACAATTTCCGCAAATTACTTTCGGACACAGCCACCCCCTCTCGCCAAGATTTCTTAAAAAGAGAAGCGAGCTGTACCTTATGCGGCTGAAGGCCGTGTTTCTATTTTGCGTTCACCGCAAAAAACCATGATTTTATGGTGTTTTTTTGGATTTTTCTCGTAAAATAATGACTTTTGGTAAAAAATGCATAAAACATAAAATGTGTATTTTTTTGAGATCTACAACTTTTGTCTATAACTTTTTTCAAAATTTTGCGTTTTTTACGAGATAATCGCAAAAAACCATTATTTTATGGTGTTTTTTATGGTTTTTACCATGATAATCAAATTTGCGCCAATTTTCACTATCATTTTCGTAATCAGCGCACCAAAATACGTTAGCATACCAAGTTTCATTAAAATCGGAGATACCCCTACTTCGGAAGTATATCCTTAAATTTTAATAAAAACTAGTAATTGTCGAAATTTATAATTAATTATTGTTTAAAATTATTAATATAAATAAAATTAATAATAAAAATTATAAAATATATAAAATTAATACATAAACAATTAAAACTTATTACAATTTAACAGTAATTACATTATATTGATATTTAACAATAAATAATTAAAATTTTGAATAATTACAACTATAATTTGAAGGTTAGGTTAGGTTATTATACAAATTAGTTAAAATTAACAATAATAATTATAGAAAATTATAAATAAATTAAATCTAAGAAATGTATTATTCTTAAAAATCGTCGTAGTATTATATGTGACAGTCCCCGAGAGAAGGGACCTTAGCTCACCAAAACGAATTTCACAGGGCAAGCGTTTGAAGAAGAAGCAGAAACGCGGAACTCGAAGAGTGGGGCGGAACTTCTGAAAAGTTCCCCCACCACACTAACACAACGTTGTGTTTCTGTATACGTGAGCTTCGTCTACTTCGTGTATCTTCGGGTCTCAGTCAGCACGAACCGAGCGAAGCTCACGTACGCGAGAGTATAGTTGTGTAAGTAAAGTAGTGGGGCTGATTTCTTGAGTGCCACAATCCGCCTCGAAATGCGCTTGACATACCCATCTTCAAAATGTTATTGTGTCAAAAGCAATTATCCTAATCAGTTTTTGACTTTTGCATGTGAAAAAGCAATTCAAAATCTATCATTTACCATATAAAACTCAATATTGACCTCTGGTGAGCTAAGGTCCCTTCTCTCGGGGACTGTCACATATATTTAATCAGAGTGTCCAGCAAGAAGTACAAAAAAAATTCCCTGACTTTTCCCTGAAATTTTCTCACTTTTTCCTAATCTTTTTCCAACTTTTCTTTAATACGTATTTAATATTAGAAAAATGAAAAGTATCAAATATTAAAGTATTTTTAAGATAATAAAAAACACTTTATTTATTAGAATTATAAACTTTTTCTTGCACCAAAAAATTTGAAAAATTCATAAAAATATTCATTTTTGGCAAATTTTAAAATAAGTTTTCTGACTTTTAATTAAATTCACTGACTAAAAAATTTCCCTGACCGCTGGACACCCAGTTACAAAGAATTTATTTAAATTCAAATTTTTCACAGAATAAATTAACTTTTTTTAAGAATACATATTAATATTAGTAATAATATACTAATTAGTAAATTAATACTTTATCGTTACTTATAAAGTATTAGTTTGAAGATTAAATTAATGTTGACAGTTGAAATTTTTTCAAAATGATAAATTTCTGATTACTTATGAGGTTTCTCACAAGCGCAAAATAATTCTAGAAGTAAGTATATAAGAGCAGTTCGGAATACACTAAATATAGCGATTGTAATGTATTAGTGCGTGCGTTACGTGCGTATTTATACTGCGTTAGTTTAAGTTAATATTAGGGTATACATATAAGCGAGCGAAGGTAAAAGTATGTGTGAAATGAGAATGTGACCAAAACTCCGAATGCAGCTGAATACAAGGCAGGTTCATACTTCAGTTACTTGGAGGAAAATATTTTTTGTTTTTTACTTTATAACTGATTATTGTTGTGATCCGCTTTAATTACATAACTGTTCTGTGAGTGACACGCTTTCTTCGCACAGGCGTGTCACGGCTTCCTTATTTTACATAACTGATCTGTAGCGAATAAGTGTACGCGCATGTTTTTCTCCACTTCAGTTCTGTATTTATTAAAAGGAAATTTTATTTAACCTTTACACTACGTGGCATTTCGTCCGATCAGTACAGGAGAAGTTCTGTAACCGCTACAATTAGAATTTTCTCCATGTAGAGTAAAATGATAAAAAAATTTGGTGTACCAATTTATATGCTATAACGATATTTAACATTTAATCCGTATTAGTCATCCGGAAGTTCACAATGAAAATTTATAAAAAGGTGGCTGAAGGGAATAAATACAAATAAAGAATAATCTAAGACAATAACACCGTCCGACACGATTTTTGACCCACAAAAAAATCCAACATTTTCGGAAACTGAGACCAAAAAAAATACCTCTGTCTGGCCATTTTGCTAGATCAAGTCGTTTGTGGTTTTTAGTGGTGAAAACAACCCCTAAATGAAAAGTGGCAAGATATCTTTTAAAAATTATTAATATTTTATAAAACTTGGTATCTGGGGGTTTTCGGGGTCGCTGATTATTAATCTGATGTCAGATTTTCAAAATTCAAAATGGCGGAACCAATATGGGGCCAAAAGTCCAGGCAAATACGAGTGCTTTTAATAAAATTCGGTCTACAGCCACAAATTTTAAAGTTTGTGAGTTTAATAGTGTTGCGAGGAAATTGTAAAAACCCCTGAGGGTTATACAATGAAATCAATAATAATAATATTACGAAGTTATTGATGTTATCCTTAATCTCATTTTGTAGGCTTTAAAAACATTAGAAAAGATAGTAATTTTAAAAAAAGGTATATTAAAGTATATAAACCGGTAATTCATAATAAAACTTAATAAAACCACATATTTATAAGCATTTAAGGTTGCTGAATACAAAAATAATGTTAAAATTTGAAAATTCAAAATGGCGAATCCAAAATAGCGGACGAAATTACTGAGTCGAGCTTCGTGCGAGTTATCGAATTGGGAGAATGAATTTTCTATACCTAATGGGGATGGTTAAACTATGATAATAACTATTGACACAATTTTTTAGAAGTTTTTTACTTATTTAATTTTCTTGCATTAGCTATTTTGAATTATTTATATTATTATTATTATTATTATTATTATTATTATTATTATTATTATCATTTATAAGCTGTTTTATGGATTCTAGAAGCATGCCATAAACAGATACCCACTGATTGGTATGGAACGAAGTATTCATGAAATGTTAAAAGACGCGCCTTCCCTTAATGAAAGTGCCAGTGCAATTCACAGTGGCACTCCTCCCCCACATATTCCAAAAAATTGCATAAGTGATGCACAGCAAAGACCAGCCACAATGAATTTAACACTTGGGAGTCCAACTTCGAAGTCTTGTAAGTAATAGCATATTACCAATTAACTTTATGTAACTACTAAAATGTACACTTTATGGAAAGTTTGCATGGCAAAGTTGAAAGTCCGATCTCAGGTGCAATACATTATATAGCTTTTTTATATTTTATATTTGGGCATATCTCCACAACCTTTAAACTTTTAAGTCTTAGAAAACTTAATTTTTTTTCAAGGCATATTCTTGAAATTAATTTTATTGTCTTCTATATGGATCAAACAATAAAAGAAACATTGTGTAACTCATTTTCACTTAAGCTGTATTAGGTAGCGTAACAGTGTCAATTATATATAAAATTATTAGTGGTGTGCAAAAAGCTCGAAACTCGATCGAGATTTTTTGAGCCGAGTCGAGCATTATTAATTCAAGCCGAGCTGTAATATTATAAAAATAATATTACGAAAATTTTCGAGTACTCGAACGTTTTCGAGTACCCGAATATTTCAAGTACTCGAGTAACTTCGATCATTTGAGTGAATTTGAGTATTCGAAATAATCGAGGACTCGAAAATAGTCGAGTACTTGTGTAAATTGAATTTTAATAGGTATTCGATTGTTTGTAAGCTATTTACTATTTTTTCATGAGTTTGTAATTTCAAATATATAGTCATTCATTTATCTGATTAATTTAGTAATTTTTGCAAAACAATAAAAGTTAAACGTTTAATATTAGAATTAAATTACAATTGAGAAAATACACATTATATAGGGGAAGGTGGGGTAATAGACTTTGGATTTCGCGGAAATAACTAGGAAAACTTGGACAGTCTTCCTGTATGTCATACCAAGACAAATGGTCACATTTCTGACAAATTTGTAGAAACTACCAGGAAAATCAAGTTTTCGAGTTTTTCTTCTTAAATGGAAAATATTTCTGGAAATCAAAATAAATAGTTAAAAATTTATTATTTAATTATGTTTTGTCATTTTATTAGAGATAAATATATGTAGATTTGGATTCATGAATAAAAATAGAGGTAATAATTAAATTCTTTTATGTTTTTCTTCTTTTTTTCAAATTGTGGCCTGTGAAAATTCTTTGGGGTAATGGGAGAATTGTGTCAGCCAGCAGAGTGTAGTTACCTCGATATGGATTTTCTTATTTCTTTGAAAATTGAGCAAGATTCATATATAAAATTTGATATTGTTGTATATTTAATTGCTGAGAATCCATATTTGTGTTTTATTGTCTAAAATGTGTTATTATTAGATATTTTAATACCAAAGAAGATGTAGGTCTTTTTTATATCTTAAATATTTTCTAAAATGTTCATTCTGTCGAGAATTCTTGACAAAATAAAAAATATATTGAAAGAAAATAGAAATTTTATCATTTTATTGGAATTTCAAGAGCTCCTAATACCCCACAGGTGGGATAATGGGTGAAAATACATTTTTTATGAAAAAATATTTTTTTGCAAATTTCCTTTCTTACTCTTAATTTCTAATTAATTATAATTAAAGATAAATAACAAAAGGAGTAAAATATGACTGAAACAATATTTTATTATAAGGATAAGTCGGTTTTTTAGTCATTTACCTTCAGGGGCTCCAATTCCCCCACCTTTCTCTACACCAAATAAGAATTTGACAAATCTATAAAACAATCTTAGTTACAAATATTAAATAAGAAAAAAAATGATAAAAAAAATAAATAAACAAATAAAATAAAACAAAAATACAATCACATAACAAAACCAGTCTTACTGTTAGAGAGACTCTACAACTTTTAAATAAAATAAGAACTTAAATTTATTCATATAAAATCTTTGGACACTAAAAAGAAGTATAATATAAAATCAGTTTTATCAAGAACATATAAAATCAACATTTAAATAGTAGTATGGACAAATTTAACGAAATTAAAATATGAAACACATAAGATAACAGATTTCAATTGTGTTGAGTAAGCAAATATCTAAAGAGTCTGCCTTCAAAAATTCCCACACTTTCCGCATTGGTTATTGAACAGGGAAGAGAGTTCCAGAAATTTGTAGCAGTGACAATAAATGAATTTCTATATTGTTCAGTTCGACAGAAAGGTACCCTAAGAAGATTAGGACACCTTATCTCTCTCTCGAAGTCATTTCATTTCGAAAAGTAAACTTATTAAACAAGTAAAGAGGTTTTTTAGTATTTAGAGTAATATATGTTAAACATCCAATGAATAACAAACGTCTATTTTTGACATTCAACCATCCTATTTTTGACCGACAAGGAGTAATATGCTCTTCTCTTTTTAGATCAAAAATATATCTTATATAAACAGCACAGCAATATAGTCAAAATGAGGTAGTATAAGTAAAGAAACAAGTTGAGTTTTCAGTTGAACAGAGAGAGTCTTTCTATTTGACTTGAATTGTTGCAATGTTGCATAAACCTTTCTACAAATTTGACCAACATGTTTCTCCCAAGAAAGAGTTGAATTAAAAATGACTCGCAAGTTCTTGACTGATTGAACATAAAGAATGATAGTTGTATTTATTTCAATTTGAGGTCACTTAGTCAAATCCAATTTATTTATGTTCCAGGGACAACCAACAATCATTGAATAACTTTTATTAAGATTAATTTTAAGTTGATTTGTTTCCGCCCAATTATAAACAGCCCTAACATCCTCATTAATCAAAGCCAAGTTATCATTCAACTCATCAAGACTAGAGTGCATATAAATCTGAAGATCACCAACATAATATATGTGGTTAGAATGCTGCGGAGAACACTTCTCAATTCATTCGTAAAAAGTATAAATAGCAAAGGACCCAATACTTGAAAAATTAAAAATCGTCACGAATGCAAAGCTTTCTCATGAGGAAGTAAAATGAATTCCTCTATGCGTTTAGGACTGAGTCCTGTTTTTTGATTGCTGAATCTCATTTTTTCGAGTTCTAATTTTCTCCGTGTATTACATAACTGTTTATAATAATTACAAATTTTGTACTTGTTACAACTATATTACATTTTCTTTTAACTGCGTTATTACATGTATATAGAGTTCTGAAGTATCTAAATACAGTCGCTCAAAGCGCCTCTAGCGGATGTTTTTTCCAAATAATGGGTAGCTTAATCTGACAATTTTACACATGTCGAGGCAAAAGTTAATTTATAAACGAAAATTCTTTAAACTATTGTTAATATCCGTGAAAAAACGTCTATTATAATCAAAAGCGGATTAACTAATTGATGACAAAAATAAGTTTATTTCTGTAACTGTTTTAAGAGAAACACCGTGTACGGGAAGTAAAAAAATAATACTAATTTTTATAGTGTTTAAGATGAGGTAGGTAGTCATTCATACATTATACAGTGGAACCTCGATTATCCGAACTAATCTAGGCAAGGCCGGGTTCGGATAATCGAAAATTCGGATAATAGAGATTTTAATTTTTTTTTATAATTAAAGTAAAAAAATGTACAGTTGAACTATATATTTAACTTAATACATATGTTTTTAAATATACATAAGTATATACATATATGTAAATATATATTAATTAATAATATATTAAAAACTCAAAAAATTCGGAAATTTTTAAGATTTTTTTGGCATAAATTTGGTTATTTTGCTTTGAAAGATAGCATCTATTCGTTTTTTAGAAACCAAATTGGACCATAAGATCCCTTTCACCGCGTCAGGACACATATTAATTGAGGGGCCGGATACAATAACAACCAGTACGCTCGGCCGGTCGCTTTGAAGCCAATCAACACCTCAAAATTGAAACTCAAAATTCGGATTTTTCAGAAGCACTACTTTATAAAAGATAAAAAAACATATCTTTTTTCTCTTAGAAATTTTTTTTTAAATACAATATTTTTGATAATAAAAGCAAAAAGCCCAAAAAAAATTTTATCAAATGTAATGAAATTTTAAAATGTAAACGATTATTTCTTTTACAAATAGTAATAAATTTGTTTACAACTTGGTATACATACTAAATTAGGTCTAATAAAGCCATTAAAACATTAGAAAAGGGAAAAAAATTATTGTTTTATTATTTTTAATTAAAAATTAAAAGAGGTCGATATTCACATTCTCTAACTTTTGACGATAAAATGTCTGCAGGGAATTTCAAAACTGTAAGAACTTCTCTTATAACATTTATTCACTACTATTTCAGGAAGTTTTCTGCAAAATTCCAAATCAATTCCTGTTATAGTTTTTAAAAAAATTAATTTTCAAGAAAAAGCGAATAGCCCATCGCGTTCACTTAAACCGCTGGAGACTTTCTTGAAGTATGTAAAATTATTTCGGCTCAAATAATAAGAAATTAGTGAAATAAGAAGAAAGTTATGTTTATTTTTTGTGATCAGTATCTTATATGTATGTACATTAGTATTAAAATTGTTAACAATATTAATATTAGTAACATTTATAATTCATACTTGATAATTTGTAAATATTTAAAATCCGTGTTTTCTTGAAAATTAATTCTTTTTAAAACCATAACAGGAATTGATTTGGAATTTTGCAGAAAACTTCCTGGAATAGTAGTGAATAAATATTATAAGAGAAGTGCTTACAGTTTTGAAATTCCCTGCAGACATTTTATCGTCAAAAGTTAGAGAATGTGAATATCGACCTCTTTTAATTTTTAATTAAAAATAATAAAACAATAATTTTTTTCCCTTTTCTAATGTTTTAATGGCTTTATTAGACCTAATTCAGTATGTATACCAAGTTGTAAACAAATTTATTACTATTTGTCAAAGAAATGATCATTTATATTTCAAAATTTAATTAAATTTGAGAAAATTTTTTTTTGGGTTTTTTGCTTTTATTATCAAAAATATTGGATTTAGAAAAAAATTTCTGAGAGAAAAAAGATGCATTTTTTTATCTTCTATAAAGTGAAGCTTTTGAAGAATCCGAATTTTGAGTTTCAATTTTTTCACCTTTTTGACGTGTTGACTGGCTTCACCTTTTTTGGAAAGGAATAAAATTGTAGTTCCGGATTATTGCGTTCACTATTAGAACAACTTACTACGCAACACTTTCTTTTTGATCCTTTATTTTTATTTAAAAGTGACATTTTTGATCACGACAAATTTGTACAGCAAGATATCTACTTATTTAAAATTTTCACTATCAGTTGGCGCTAAGAACTTACTTCAGAACTCTATAACAGCTGTTTTGCAGTGGGATTCCGTTAAGCGCCGGCGCTACATAGCGCTGCTCTATATTTAGCGCTATATGGACCAAAAATTCTAAATTTTTTGTTGACACTTGCTGTGAAGGATATTTAGAATTATTTACCGTTTGAAATTTGCTAAAAAGATTAAAGATTGCTTTGCATGCAAAAAGAGAAAATAAGCAAGCGCTATGAGTTATGCATTTTGTCGGGAGTTACGTGTCAAAATAGAGAAATATTAATTATAGCGCCTATGTCCTATAACGCATTTGACAGGTTTTGGAAAAAACTTTTATTACCTTTATTAATTAAGAGTTGTAAAACTTTCGGTGGCGCTTCTTACCTTTTACAATAAAAATAATGTTCAATAAGCAATATAAGGCTCAAAAATTCAGTAATGAGAAGTTTCTATTTCTCTCTGCTCGCTCTCTGTAGAACGGAATGAAATAACTTTATTATTACTCAGGTAGTGGTGGATAGAATATTCTATATTCAGTATATCTACTGATTTTATTGTTTATTTGATTATAAATTTAGAGGGACTGTGGATTGAACCAGGGTACAATCCCCATTCCCTCCAAATTTATAATCAAATATTTCTATATATATTTTGTATGATTATATAAAAAAAACTTTTTTGGAAATTTTGCGTTTTTTACGGGATAATCTCAAAAAACCATGATTTTACGGTGTTTTTTATGGTTTTTACCATAATAATAAAATTTGCGCCAATTTTCACTATCATTTTCATAATCAGCGCACCAAAATACGTTAGTATACCAAGTTTCATTAAGATCGGAGGTACCCCTACTTCGGAAGTACACCCGAAACTATATAGAAAACTATATAGCCTGTACCAAATTCATACAGTAATGTCGTATGTTGTCTGGAAGCTTCCTTAAACGCATCCAGCGTAAGATCTTATGAGCATTCCTAATAGATTCGTTTTAAGGGATCACACGTGGGAAACTTTGTAGGGATTTTCAATATGGACTATCTGTTTTTTAGTCCATTATCACGGACGTAATTTATAAAAAATAATCGGTTTCACTTGAAATTAGTTACTGGGGCATTCTTGAGATAGTTGATTACCAATATAAAGTCATATTTTAAAAATTTTAAATGGTTTACCCAATATGGCGGATTTTTTTTTTAAATTCATCGAATTCTTTTAAAACTCATTAATCGGGGTTTTTTAACGTCGATCACCAGTTCAATGTAAATTTTTAAAAATTGATGTTTTGGTATAGCGAAAATATTTATTATGATTAATTGAATTTAATATTAATTAAGAATAATTAATATTTTTAGAAAATTTAAATAGGGGGTTGGCGCGCGAAGCGCGCAGGGTGGCGAGGCCCCCTAGTATATATTATATATTTATAATATATAATAAGAATATTAAACTATGAGGCAATCCACAAGTGCGACAAGGACGCTCTTATGCAATATTCTATAAGCGGCAAACTTGCACTCACGCTTCTCTATTCTTCATATTTTTGTCCTCTTACAGTATACCCTAATAAAAACTGAGTACCTTTATTGGAACCCATTTGCAGGTAAGAAAATTCGGAAATGATAATAAAATAAATAATAATAAACAAAATATACCTGTCAGCGCTATAATAGATCTGCGCTTCGTAGCGCCAGTGCTTAATGAAATCCCACTGCTGATTCTCCGTTCCTTTTTATCAGAAAAGGAAAGTGACGTAGAAAAAGGTTGAAATTAATTTAACTTTATTCTTATATCATCCCAATTTTAGTGCCTTTATCACCGAGTTCGCCTCTTCAAAATGGAGACACGCAAACTATGAGATCAGCTCATAGCAAAATTGAAAGTATCAGAAATTGGAGTATTTCAACATATAAGTGTACTAAACAACTGATGTATGAAAAACTTGGAAAAACTTCTCGTACTGTCGATTCAGGTAAATACCCAAAATTAAAATTTATACTTAATTTAAAATTTTTTAAAATATTTTTATCAGTATCCAATAAATGTACTAATAATTGTTTTATTAACAAGTTTCAACATAATTGTTTTGTATGACTTTTACAAAAGAATAAAAAATATTGTAGTAGGAGAAACCGGGGCTGAAAGTGCCGGAGGTAAGTTGTGCAGATAGGAATATCTAAAAAACAAAAATATTTTGAGAAGTGGAAGTGAGAGAAGTATTGTTTAACTCATGCGCATCTTTAGCAACTTTTTTGATTTTGTCTGCTTCACGGAATAATCAGCTGTTAGAAACTTGGTGCTTTGGCGTCACTTAGGTATAAGTTTTCATGTTTATACTTTTCGGTCTATTTTTGCATATTTAATGGGCTTAAAAAATGGTACACGTTGACGTCCACGTCCGACGCGCTTTTTGTAGAACCAACTTTCATGCGCGTTCCACACTTAAACCTTTTAGAGATCCGACGCGACGTGCCCCCTTCAGTGACTGCGCACAGGGGAAGTGAGTATTTCTCAGTTAAATGCTTCTCGCTTTAAATCATCGTTAATATAAAAAGTAAATTATTATTCTTATAACAACAATTAAATCATATGTTAAATTTAAAAGATTTAATATGTTTCAGAAAATTTTGTGAATTTGAATTAAGTGATTATTTATTTTAACCAATTATTAACTATTATAATAAATTAACTGTATTCATACCGATTTATTTTTGTATTTAAAACAAATAACATTTTCTTCTATCAAGTAACATTAACTTAATAGAATAATTTCATTTTAAAATTTAAATGTAAAAATAAATATAATTTATGTCGAAATGTAATATTTTTTCTGAAATTTAAAACTATTCATTTTTAAATACAGTAAAATAAAAATTTCGTAAAATCATAAATAAACAACGCTATTTTTATTGAAGGCCACCTATACATATATTTTTACAACGCCTACCTAATATATTATTTATTACTGTTTATATGTATATAAAATTAATTTATGAAAAATACATGTTTAAAAAAGAAAATTCATTATTAACAATAAATTAAAACAAATGTTCTCTTAACCAATAATAATTAATTCCATTAAAAAAATTTATCAATTAATACTTGATTAAATGTCAAATTTAACTGAATTAAATATTCACGAAAAGCCTGCGCGTCTCCTTATCGCACGTGAACCCACAATTGTGCCTTTCGCTTGGGGCTGGTTGTGCCGCAGTCAATCGCTACATAACCATAATATACTATTGCTTCGTTTGTTCGAATAGTTATTCCAACCCAAAATCAAGAGAAAAGTGGATTCAGTGCATCGTTTGCAAAAACTAGGTACATTTAAAATGTGTATAGGGTAAAAATGCGTCAGTTACATGTGTGTCAATTGTGATTTCAATAAATTGCATTCGGAATAAGTATTAATGTCTTAAAAATTATTTATTAATCGGAAAGTAGAGTTTTTTACAGTTAATGAAAGATACAAATAATTATTACAAAAAATATTTTAAAAGACTGACTAATTATTATATAATCGTAGAATTTATGTCAGAAATGTTTATTTATTTACAAAAATTTATAACTGCTACGATTGTTGGAAAAATTCTTTGAATGTTTATAATGAAAATACTTATTACGAAAACTATATTTTAAGTGACTGACAAACTATGCAATTATAGAATTTTTTTGAGTTGGTTATTGTCATTCAAGTTCCAATCTCATATCAGTGGAGCCTGTAATAAACATTTACTAGAACTACATTTTAATTATCAGATTAAGTTTCATACTCTAATTAAGAGTAGGGGAAACCGGGGTTACTGGGCGCACTTTTTACTCTTTGTTGTGTAACTCACTCATTTTTGCTTTTTTTAAAAAGTTAATGTATAGAAAACTTGTTGTAACATATCAGCTTTAATTAAAAAAAAAGAAAGTTGAAATATATTTAATACTTTTATTTTTATACCACTTTATTTGAAGCTGTGCTAAAGTTTAAATAATATAAGACTCAACAAAATAAGACTTGTACTGTAATTTTACAATAAAATTATTTTAAATTAAAAAATTAGAAAATTTCATTTAAATTAAATGAAATCGTAAAATTACCAAAAAATATATATTTTTTTTATAATAACGCTGTGAATATTTAAAAACCATTATTGGGTTAAATTTTTTGAATAGGATTGTTATTGGTGCTTATTAATGTGTAAATTTCATATAATCAACTTCATTTTATTAATATTTAACGAAATTTTCAAATAACCGCGCCATCTAACCCCGAATATACTTTTGAAATATTTATTATTTTTTTATAAAAACTGTTAATATAAATCAAAAAATATTTTTTGTTTCTGAATAACTAATGTATAGAGCTCAAAACTTAATATTTGAGCTCTTCTAAAATTAATTTTTTAAAGAGATATCAAAAAAAATGAAGAGGTTAAAAAATTACTTTGGAGTGCCAAAATCAGTTATTTTAATCTATACTCCACAATAATTAATTAATATTAATGAAATTTTGTACAAACTTACAGTTTATCAAGTACTTTAAGCAGAATAAAGAGAAAAATTAATGTAACTTAACACTTTTGAATAAACTCAAATGCGCCAAGCAACCCCTGCGCCAAATAGCCCCGGTCTCCCCTATACTCAATTAAAAAGATTGTTTTAGTTTTATAAAATTAAATTAAAAATAGTATTTTAATTAATTCAATTATTAGTTTTTTATTAAACTAGCTGAAAGAAACGAGCGTGAAATTTATCATTTTTTATGCAAAATTAAAAATTTACTTTTATTTGACGAAAAGTTATTGGAATTTTCATCTCACAAAATTAGTAATGTTATTTTTGAAATCCTTATTGTTGTTACAAACCAACAAGTTATTTATTTAATTAACAATTTAATATATTAGAAATTTTGATTATTATTGTTCTTTTAAATAAATGATTTTTATGATAATCTAATGTGATTAGTTTGCGGAGGCACCAAGCTGCCAAATTTGAATTTTTTAATTTGTTTATATTTGAGGGGTCGGTTATTCCTTTTTTAAAAGTTATTACCAGGATGCGCTATAATTAAACTCTTAAACAAAAATTGCAAAATACGGAAGGAAGAACACAATAAAACAAAAGATTCTTCTATTATACATTTATTAAAAGAAGTAAGAAAAGTAAAAACTTTATAATTGGAACAAAAAAAGTGATTAGGAACGATACATTATTGTACTCACCCTTACAGCTTAAAATTACCGTCTAAAACTAACAAAGCTTAACCTTGAAGTGCTGACCGACGGGCAAAAAATAACGAACTTTAAGTGTTTACACCTTAACACTAAATTGGTTTCATTATATCAACGCACACAAACAAGTATTATTACGCGAAGAATAATATAGAGCCGTCGGATGTAAATCGGTCACAGGCACAAAGACTGGCTGGTCAATCGACAAAAATTGCGTAATTTTTTTCTTTACATATATGTAATTATATATTTTTCCCTTTTCTTTTATAAAGATGTAAAATTAGAATTTTTATTTACTCCGACTCTCGTTGGACTTTGTCGACTTAAAAGTTTTTGATTTTATTTTCGTTCGTCCAATTTTATTTGTATCATAAACCAATAAAATTGGGCCTTGACTAAAGGAAGGGTCTAAGAGCTGGCTACAAAAATTGGCAACGATAAGGTGCAAAAAAAATTTTTGTATAAAAGCCACGGAGGAATAGTAAGGAGACCGATCTCTGCGTTTGAAAATGACAGAAAAACATGTACGATAAGTGCCAGGTTCAGTGCATTGTACTCAACTACCAAAGTAGCTGAGCATGCGCATTGGAGAGGGGGGGTGAGAGGTAAAAGATGCAAATTTTTGATGAAAAAAAAATTATAAGGTGCAAGTCTGAAACTTGGTGTGGTAGTAGATATTAATAGTAGAAATCACGTTAAATTATTGCCAGATGTCTAAGTCAGCAATTTCACCTTGCCAGAAGTCGATAAAGTCGCAAGACAATTGATAAAATTGTACTGATAAGGTGCATTTCTGGCAACTTCATTTTTTGGTTTGGTGTCTTTAAATAGCTGTATGCCAGTTGCCAGAAATGAAAATTGTGGCAAAGTTGTTTAAATATGAGAATAAACATGACAATATTAGTCATAACTATGGGTAAGCGCAAAATAAAATTTCGAGTAAATATAAAGATACAGAGTTGTTAATTAATTTTTATTAATTATTTATAAAAAAACAAACCCAACTAGCACGTAATATTACTGTAATATTACAGTAACATTATCCGGTAATATTACTAGAATATTACAGTAACATTATCGGGTAATATTACAGTGATATTAAATTGTTTGCCTGATGGTGATATTACTGACTAATTGCCGAGTTAATAACATATGCGACGAAATATTGCTGTGAACGAGACGTAGGTTAAAATACATCGACCAACTAGTGATATGAATTATGTAATAGGTGTTTACACATGTCAGTAAGAGACTTGGAGATGTGTGTTCATACAAAAACAATTGTTTTTCACAAATACCAAGTTCTCTATCCTAAAACATTAATGTTTAAACCCAAATACGATTTTTTGAACTTTTACTTTATGAAAATCTAAATTGATATGCCTTTAAGCTTCCGAAAGGAACAAAGTGTAAATGCTCACATGGTACGTATAGGTTAGAATCGTCTGTAATATTGATAATTTTACTTACTCCGACGTAATCTTTATAACTTTTTAACTTGTTATGTTACAGTTCTTAAAACCGTTATCTTGAAAAGGCCTTTCTTAGAGAGGCGAAAGCTCGATTTTTTATTTGTATTCCTTGAGAAATTTCTCAAGAGGACATTATTTTTCTTAATAAAGATCAGTGTATAAAAACAAAATCAACATCTATGACGATAATTGGACTCTCATCAACAATAATAACACCTTTTAAAATATTACTGACTAATATTACTGTAATATTATGGTAATGTTACAGTAATATTACA